CGTGGCTTGAGTTCCGTGTACCAAACAAAGCCTAAAGGAAGTTGTGGATAAAACCATTCCAAAATATCTCAAAAAAGTCAATGGGAGGAGTGCGATAGGAGTTTGAAGAATTCAATAGCTCGGCCACTTTCCTCCATTCCCCAAATCCCTTCAATAACATAAGGGCTAAATGTGACTACTGACTAGTGTGACATCAGATGCATTTTCAACACCATAAATCTTTCCAAGTCCAAGTATTATCGACAAGACGATGAAAGAATGTTACCTCTATTTCCTTTGAATATAGAGCGTCATAACCAGATTCTTGTATGACATTCAAATAGGAGGCAATCAGAAAGTCTCCAAGGTACTTGCGAAGGTAATTAACTGTCACTCTGTACTTTCCATCTCTAACATTGGATCCAATGTAGAACCAACCAATATCCATGATATCAGGTTTTGTTAAACAAAGCATCTGAGCAAAGAAAATGGCAATATAGGTCTTACTTGATTGAGTCATCAATGCATATGGATAGCCATCGTTTCAATGAAGCATTTTTCCCACGGATTCCTCTGAAAGGAATTGGTGTTGCAGGCAAGTTTGGTAAACAGAAGTTATCAATAGTTACATTATCCATTTCACCAATTTGAAGAAGTGAATCCAGCAAAGCTTCCTCGGTAACTCTCAAGAAAGAATCTGGGCATATTCCAGGTTCTTGTTAATTGGTGAGCCATGACTCAGGTTGAAACACATTCCTTGCAACTTGCAAAATCAAGCTTACCATTCAATATCTTTTCAGCTAATCCTTTAAAGTCCGTCAAAAGTTTACCCAAAAACCACTTGCTTGGATGCTACGTAAACATTATAGAAAGAAGGGAGACTAAGGTAGGGAAAGAACAAAAGGCCTGATCAACACAAAGAAAAGCGAATCACATCACATATAAGCCAAAAGAAATTTTAATACCTGCTGTGGATCTACACAATTAAAAACTAGCTCATCTACCACAGCCTGCATGTACCTAAACCAACTCATTAGGGTGTTAATTATTAGAACATAAAATAGATGAGAATACATTACTAGTTTACTACTACAGAATATGATGGCATCACATACTGAAATTTTAAAGCAATATCAGGAAGCAAGTATAACTATACATGCCAATTGACTACACTGGCAAAATAGACAAAGCATACTTTTCATAGGAAGGCTACTAGAACCACTTTTTATGGTATTTACCCATTTTAATTCAAATTGAATAACGTGACTGCAAAAGCATTATGTTCAGTTATAATTGTATAGGCATACATATTTTGTCACAACATCAATTAATTCCTACAACCCAGACAAGCCTAGTCTTAATACTAATCTAACTGGAGCTACACCATTGTTTTAATTACTTGATTAAAAAAGGAAAATCTGATATTCCTGGATTGCAGTCAATGCTTGAAAGACCTTGAATACGTGTAGCTGTGGACACCAAGCAAATGCAAAACAATCAGGGCATTCCATAGACACCACCGACCTACCCTACATAAACACTGGAGTCCGTCTAAAACTGAATTTCAACCAACAACGTAAGCATCTATCTAAGATACAATACTTGAGTTATCTACATCTAACACCTCTTTTATAAAACAAAATATTTAATAAAAGCACACCCTCTTAATGTAGTCATTTTTAACAGGAAAGCAACTAACACCCCACATGTGTTACACCATAGCCTATTAGAGAGAGCGTAGATCATACCATTAAGGCATGAAATGTATATCATTATATTGTACTATTACAGGCAAAATCTACAAGTGTAGTTGTTCTGACTTCTAATGCTTGGCTAGGAACAAAAAATTCAAAGACTTGGTTAGGAACAGAAAATCAAAGACTTGGCTACAAACGAAATATCAGACTTGGCTACAAATAAAAAATCAAAAGACTTGGCTAGGAACAAAAAGAAATCAAAGACTTGGCTAGGGACAAAAAATCAAAGTTGGCTAGTAAACAAAAAACAAAGACAACTTACTGCAAAATCAAAGTTGGCACTTACTGCAAAATATTCTGTGAACAACTTTCGAAACCACCCGTTAATATTAATTGGCGAAGATTATAGACATGTTTTCTTTGCACCTGAAAATACAATTGGTAGATCCAAGAGTAGATTATATTGAGATGGAAGGGAATTATAATAAGGGCATTCGGCACGTGTGACTGTCAAAACTTAAAGGAAAGAAATTAAGTAGATTTCAAAGCATTACCTTTGTTAAAATAAAGTAATTATTAGGAAATAATTAACCCAAAATGAAGAAGAAGATGATAATAAAATTAATACTATTAAAACAACAGCTAACCGAGTACAATCCCAACTGCATTTTGGTGTGAGGGGTCAAGATGTATGCAATCAACAACACAATAGAATCTCAGTATCCCACAAAAGTAGGGTCTGGGGAGGGTGTACGCAATCATACCCCTGAAAACTTCATAGAAGCTTAATACAATACTGCATTTTCTTCTCAAGCTAGAACAGTTTGCATTGCCATTTTTCCATTTTTAATGGAGCTAAAAGAATCATTTTTTTCTAATCTTTTAGCTTAAATAATGGACTAGATCAAAATGGCAGATTAAACTACCATTGCTTCTTCATTTATATGTAGTTTTGGGATGTAAATGCAGCAATGCCTAAGGGAAACAACCTCTATGCTACACAAGAGCAAGGTTGTGTACATCTTGACCCCCAGACCCCAACGTAGTTAAGATTATAATAGCTTTTTTGTTGTTGCTGTTGTTTAATTATAATAATAATAATAATAATAATAATAATAATAATAATAATAATAATAATAAAACACTACTAATAATAATAACAGCAACAATAAGGCACCAACATTCCTTATAAATGAAGTATGCAACCTGTTATCAAATGCATACCTCGAGAACTTCATCGAATTCCACAAGGCTCTTTCTAATGCCAAAGAAGTACTTCTCCGCATTGATTTGCAAGCCCAAAAGCTAAGTGGTGTAAACCCAAAGCATGATTGTAAGAAAGAACGTGTAAAGAAAAATAGTATTTCATAGAATTGACTACATATGTCAAATACAGAATAACAATAGCACATTAAGACACAGTAACATAAAAACTCAGTGACAGATGCATTACCTGTTTAACAATGGCATCAGCTTCAATTGGAATATCTTCATCATTAGTAATCCTAGATATGAGCTTCACAGCCCACTCAGTATCAAGGTTAAACTTTTGAAACATCTCATCCTGCAAGCTACATTTAATATGATAGCTTTTTACATCTCATCTACTAGGCACAATGAAAATTGTAATTTCAAATCTAAATTTTCATTGGAGAGAGGTGGGTCAAAGAAAGAACCCAATATAATTATTCATGATTTCATCCTAAATGAAAATGAAAATTCCAACACAATAACTCAAAAGAAGTTTAAATAATCCACTTCAACCATACAAGATGCAACAGAGATCCAGAGACCTTGCAGCCTAAGATTGAAAGGCATAGATTCTACAATTCTAGGTGCGAAGTCTTAGGTTCAATCCAAGTTCACCTCTTGCATACTAATGTACCACATAAAAAACAAATGTTCCCAAAGAGGAAATAATTTGGAGCAAGATCAAGTAAAGAAGAATGACTAGTAGCATTCCTGAAAAGTCTTTAATTCACTTCACAATGGAATTAGAGGATATCATTGGACAATGTTGCATAGTTAGGTCCAATGAGCAAGCACACAAGTAAATAAGATTATTGTTTAGCATCTCACCTAACCATGAATCTTGTTGATCCAGGATCCCCTTGTCTGCCTGCTCTTCCTCGAAGCTTTTAGAAAAACATAAGACTATAAGAGCACAGAATGCTATTATACACATTCAAAAGGTCATGCATGTATGGGTGTGGGTGATTGTGTGAGGGGACGGGGGGAGGGGATGTACAAAAGAAATGGTAAGCACAGGAAAGAAAATTGGAGGAAAAAAAATAAAAAGTGTGTGTGATTATGTGACAAAGAACCTATTATAGACAATAAGAATGCTTTGCATAGCATCTCAGTTGATGAAGTGAAACAAAACTAAAATTGCACTACATAGTTAATTAGTTACGCACATGATGCCATGATGCAAGTTGTATATGCATATAAGATGACTCCATGTCTTAATTAGGAAATCAGTGAAATAATGCAGATTGTGTGATATGTTGGCCAGCAGAACTGCTGCTTTCAAACAGCTGTAAGGACGATGCACTACAATGAGCCAATGGCTATCTTTGGAAAATAGCATGTTGCTAACCATTGTGCTACTTTTTTAGCATTTTGACCCAAAAAAACATTATACATCCAATGCTAACTGAAGTATGGTAAAATAGCATTATGCTGAGCAAAATGATTATTTGAAAATGCTGATTGGATCAGAATTATAGTATTAGCACTTAAGTATTATTTTTTAGCACTCTACTAAGTTACCAAACATCTAAAATTGCTAGTCAACCCTTCTAGTACGAATTGCTACATGTTATCTGTTACGGAGTATATGTTAATTATTGTTTGTCAAACAAGCACAATGACAAGAACAAGTGAATTAGTAAATGTAGGTACTCGCATATTCTGTAAGATTGAAGTGAGAGACAATTAAAATGATTCAAATACATTTGAGATTCGAAAAAATTCTTAACTATGTAAGAAAGAATTTGAAAACACTGGTTGAATCAATTTCATATAGTCACAGCCTCCTTAGCTAGAGTAAATCAGATGTCACCTGGTTATCAATTCTTCTTGATTCGTGTAAAGATGTCCCTATCACATGCAAGCCTCCAAGTCTTTTCACTTCTAAACCCTCGTTCAAACAGTGGGACTCACAATCCTTTAAGATAGATAAATATGTAAGTGCCATGGATGGGCCAAGAGGGTACATTTCTGATTGATCACCAGAAAGCTTCAACAGCTCTCCCAAACCAATGGATTGACTCATTTCTATAGATTCAGAAATCATAGATTTTGCCTCTTCATACGACCATTTCTTACCCTCATTTTTGCATACATACTTAGCTGTAAAAAAATAACAGGTACCAAAAAGATTAAACCAAAACTCAACACGGCAATATATTGAACCAATATAATATTAAAAATATCTTATTGATCGGAGTAGGAAAGGACACAAACCCAACAGAGCTGTCTTAGCTAACAAAGCTAGAGATGATGGTCCCACTTTTATTCTTGATAAGACCTAAAAACAAAAAGTACTTTTAGATGGAAAAGAAGAGAAGACTATAACATTTAACGAGATATGTAAACAGGAAAACCTTTTGTAAATTTATTCCTCCGTCATCGATGTCAGTTTGAGGAGTATATTGTGTGAGAGAAGAAACTAAGCTGTTTTCCAAAATTTCCTTTGCAAGCATCTGTATGACAAAACATGCAACAAAAGAAATTACTTTAGTAGCAAGGTAAAGCACAACTTGGACTTACCAAACCAGATAAAGAAACAACATTAGGTCACTTGAAATTTTTTAATGGGTGTCTGTTTTAGCAGCAAAGTACACTTGCCTTGGGATTTCCTCCAAGGATAATGTCAGTCCCCCTCCCAGCCATATTAGTAGAAATGGTGATAGCATTCTTTCTCCCTGCTTGTGCAACAATTTCAGCCTCTCTAGCAGCATACTGAAAAAACCAATGGTAATTAAACAGAAGGATAAATGCAGTACATAGTCCTGCAATTTGTGTTTGTAATGAGATCTTAAACCCAAGTAGTTTCTAATTTTCTGTGTTGAAGTTCCCTTGGGACAGAAACTCAACATCAGGATATTGGAGGAAAAGGAAGAAACAAATATCATTGCATGGTCAAGCCTTGCAAAGTTGCACTGCCATGGCACTTAGTTGAACATGTGTGGACTAATTCAGGTAAAACACCACATTTATCAAGGTTGGGCGTCACTTAATTGTTAGCCTTGGCGCAAATCATTTTTCATTCATTTGTTAGCTTGAATTGTCTATTGAAAGATACCTGTATTAAATCACCAAGAGAGCAGAATTAACAACCTTGAAACATATGATGTCTTGATTTACATGTTCCAGATTGGGATGTTAGAGTTTTTGTGATGTAATCATATCGCGCTAAGTGATGAAGGGTCATTACATTAAGCGCTTACTCATGGAGCATCTGTTCTAAAAAAACATGCCTAGTCCAACCATAAGTGACATGCTCCTCTTGGTCATTCATGTTTAGTTTCTAAATTGACCCCTCTTATATAACCATATAATTCTGCTGCCCGTCTAGTGCCCAGCGCTTTTTTGAACACTTAATTCACTAGAGAACTGTGACTAGAATAAAGTGAGCACATCACATTCAAAAACATTTGATTTTATAATTCCTCGAGTGTGTCATTGTAATGTACCTCAAAACTTAAGAAAGAAGTTTATAGTGCCCCTTGCTTTACTAAATATATTAGAATGAAAACAACCCACCCCGAAAGTAGGGCCTGCGGGGGTGTATGCAGACCTTACCCCTACTCAAAAGTAAAGAGGTCATTTCTAAGAGACCCACGGCTTGAGCAACACAGAAGGAAAGAGTGTCAATAGTGACTCTTTTAACTCCGTTGGCAATGAAAACTTTTGCATATAACAATTGTGTTAAAAAAAATGAAGGCAATATAGTGTAGTATCTATAAAGAAGTATAGTATATATCAATAAGTATGAAGCATTGGGGGTGGGTGGGGACAAGGAGATGAAGGCTCAGAATTTTCTTACAAACCTTGGGTAGTGCATTAAGGACGTTGTGTGGAATTTTCCTTTTCTTCAGTAAGGTAGATAGATATTCAGAGTTTTCAACACTGCATCAACAAATAAAATAAGACTCCATGTGATCTATTTTGAGTTTTGAATCGAAAATGTAAGTCGAAGAGGAAAGGAAATAAAAAACCATAGCATTTTCTTCATTTCCAATTCAATAAATGCAGTGCATTAACCATTAAGGCATTAACTTATACGGAGTACTATCATACTGCACCGAAGTTGCAGCAATGACATAAGAATCATAGCTCATATACCCAGTCTAAGTACAAAACGTAAAGAGTCACCCCATCCCCCCCCCCTCCCCAAATAAAAAAAAAGAAACACACAAAACACACATTCGTCCAAGTTCAAGGGGCATAGCCTCTAGATATTGAAATTTGCAAGTTAAAATCAAGAATTCAAGACCATAACTACACCCTGCCTGTAGGTTTGAAAATTCTTGAATCTTGATGTAATGTTTTTGTCGCATGCTTACATTGTTCCTTTTTATTTCAATGTGCAAGGGGGGATTCTGACGAGTAAATATAATTAGTAGGTGTATTAGGCATGGAGGTGCCAAATGTCCAAAGGCCTTCATCTGATCTTATATGGACTTCGGCACCTCCCTAAATCATCCAAAACAAAGTATTACTCTAAGAGAAGAGCTCCAGAGTAGAGGTATGAATGAGTCGACTCTCTAAGAGAGTGGCTACAACAGATAAAAACTAATATACGGAGGCACGGTGCAAAAGAAGTACAGTCAATACAATTACCTCGTGCTCCCAACTAATACTGGACGACCCAGTCTAAACATGTACTCGATCTCTTCACGAACATTTTCCCATTTTCCTCGTGCTGTCTAAAGGGCACAAAAATAAGCAAGAACCCACCGTGTGGAATGAATTTCATAGTAGATGGTGATGTCTTACAGCAAAAGCTTGTGTAGTTAGATCTTTTCGGATGTTTGGCAAATTTGTAGGCACTTCAATCACTGGAATTTCAAACATTTTCATGAACTCTTTCTCCTATAATAAAGACATGTAGGCATGTAGTCATGCTTAACTGCTTCACAGCTTAAGTACTCTACTACTCTCTGAATTAGAAACTCAATTAAGGTTATATTTTGAACCCTCTGAAATCCTTATACCTCAGTTTTTGCAGTTCCTGTCATTCCTGAAAGCTTCGGGTATAGCTTAAATAGTGACTGGTACGTAATTTGTGCTACAACAACAGAATCAGCCTAACCAAAAGAAAACTGAGTTTTACAACTTCAGATATTGTAATTTTGAGAGGGATTCTGTGGAATGAACAAAGAGTCAAAGACTACAGCTTCAGTTTACATACCTGAATTCTGAGACCTTCTTTCGCCTCCACAGACTGATGAATGCCATCTGACCATCGTCTTTTCTCTTCCACTCGTCCAGTCAACTGCCAAAAAAACGAAGATAGACTCTGCAAAGAAATCTTATTGAAAGATAAAAAAGAAATAGTGTTGCAAGAGCTTCATAACTTAATCACCTTATTATATTTCAGGTATAATGAAACTACCAATGTTACACACATAAGAAAATCATATGCATCTTAAATTTGAGAAAGCAACCCACACAACTACTATCTCACTGAAACTCTATATTTATATATCTTATTTTCTTCTTTCTGGTGGCTGAAAGATTTTGCTAACTCTATTTGATAGCACACAGTCTCATACAGATATTTTCATGTAAAGATAGAATCTCCATCTCATACTCTCATGTACTACAATACTTTGCAAATTTGCATATTCAAAAAGAAAACATTAAGAGACAACTAGATAATGAAAATACTAAGGGAAACTCAATACAAAATTAATTTTATGAGAAAAATCTTCAAAAAGGGTATACGTGCACCAGTTGTACCTCATTTATTATTAAAGCTTTCCCATTTCTGACAATGTATTGGACATCTCGCTTATAGAACTCCTTGGCTTTTAAAGCATTAATTACAAATCTGCAATTCACAAATTTTTAATTGAATACTCTGCGGATTTCAATTCAAGTTAGACAAGTAGGCATGAATTTTACAGAAATCAAGTGGAATAACTGAAGGTGTTGTTTACGAAACATCACACCACCATTTCATGTAGCCCTTACAAAAGTACAGAATAAACTGAGATATAAGGTCTAGGTTTACCTTGCCCATGGATCATTCTCATCCCACAAGTCATTTGTTTCCAGGGCCATCTCGGCAAGAACAATTCCTTCTTCGGTTAATTCCACAGAATTATCCTTAAGCTCTATGTTGTAATGCTGTTAATGCAGGTGAATTTAAGTTTCACCGGTTGGTGTCCATAATTCTCTTCAGTGATGGAAAAGTATAAGTCGGACTTAGAAGGGGAGAAAAGGAATATGTGAATTTGAGACTCACAAGACCGCTCATGAGTAGGTCAGCTACTCTAGCAGCAACAGGATATCGTGCAGCATCTTCACTTGCCTGAAATATAGCAAGATAATAATAGATCAGAAAAGTGGGTTAGGAATAAAAGCATGCAGGAAGCCTAAATACATTTCCCCATTTTATGCAAGGGTAATTGACAGTTGTTTGAACTAAAAGATCCAAAATTTACCTCACCACTTATTAGTAAAGGATTCCTTCCTTCATCAATGAGGACTGAGTCCACTTCATCAACAATTGCAAAATGGAAAGGCTTGGGCCTGTTTTCACAAGGTAAACTTCAATAATGGACTACAATAATCAGACAGGAGTTGCAGTATAGTTTACCATCTCATCACAAGTTGTTCATGGTTATTAGCAAGATTATCTCGTAGATAGTCAAAACCAAGTTCCTGGGACAAAACAGAGAAAAGAGGAATTGTCAGAACACACAAGTGTATAGTCATCGACTGCAACTGTCAATCTACTAATCACTATTATAATTCATAATTGTGAGGATTTATCAGAGAAGCTGTGAAATGTTGAAATTGCATGCCAGAAGTAAAATGTTGAAAAAATATACTATGTATATATTTGGAAGCATGAATCCTGAAACTTAAGACCACTTACTGAATTATTAGTATATGTCACATCACATCCATAATTCAGTCTCCTCTCTTCAGATGACATCCCTTTCTATATGTTAAGAGAGATAATGAGCACATCTTTAGGCTGTAATAGAAAATAAATAAAACTACTTGCAAATTGATGTTCACAGTAGATCTAGAAGATTAAAACTCCGTATTCAATATGGATTTACTATTCACATCAGGAGAATAGAGAGGAAATATATACACATGCAATTTGATATGTATTATTTATTCTAGTGTTACAAGGATTTCATGTTTCTATATTAACACCCAAGATGCCATAAAGCAATCCTTTCATAATAGCATTTCACCCAAACTTAGTTTGAGGCAACACAAAAATAACTCTATAACAAGAGATTACTCGGATAAGGCCGACAGAAAGGCCAAGGAATCGATGAACCCGTCCCATCCACTCAGCATCACGTTGTGCTAGGTAGTCATTAACAGTGACGACTGTCAAAGAGGAAGTAAGAAAAGAAAGTAGGTAAGGCCCAAGAAGCACCATTATATCTCCCAAAAAATACTAAAGTTTTAGATTGTGAATAAAGGCTTCTTGATCAAGGGGTAATGTACCCAACAAATATACAACCACGAAGGACCAAACAGAGATAATTCTTTGAAACTCATTCAATCCCCTCGTACAAATCAAATGATGAACAATTTACAAGGCATGGTGCATATGGAAGTGATGTAAGAAATAATGACCATGAACACCCTCTCCCGTCAAAGCATTGAGATATGCTGCTAATGTGGACACTAAGGTCTTCCCTTCACCGGTTTTCATCTCTGCAATAGCTCCATCATGAAGCACAGCTCCACCAATAATCTATATTTTAAAATTAAAAAAAACAATCAAATATAAGATTTTGAACAAAACTCGAGCCTTGTAAGGATTAGAAAGTACTGTTGAAGTTCCATACAAAATGTTAGATGATATCAATTCAAATATATCCATGGAAGCATAAAAAATGATTAAGCATGATAACTTAGAGACATGCTTGCATGTGGACATTCGTTGGAGCATAGATAATCTCCTATTTGTGGTGTGCACCGTCTAAACAGAGCAAAACAAGAAAATCACATATGCAACTAGTGCACATATAATTTCTGCCATAAACCAGTTGCCATTTTTTATAGCCTAATTCTGATACCAGCCATGAGCAACAAATGAACCCCTTATTCCCCTCTACATCCTCAGGCTTGATGTGAATCTAGTTTTAGCTATTCAGCATTGTATCTAAAACATTTCTATGTGCTTCGCCATGTCTACACTTGTCAATCGTCTTTTGCGTGTATGAATTGAAAACAGAGAAATTTTGTGGTAAATATGTACAAGTTATTGCTCCTTTAGTTGTTTTTATTAGTGGCGCTCCGGTAGTTGTTTACTTTCATTTAATCACTACTTTTGAGTTTGGCAAAGAAATTATCTGTTTCAACCAGAACCAATGTTCCCATACAAAAAGATCTGAATGCAACTTTTTTCCCATTGAAATAGTTCACCTCCTACCAAATCTATAGGAGTGACCAAAAGTAAAATTGAAAAATGGTCAAATATATTAGTAATTGCCTTCAAAAAAATATACGAGTATATATTAGTAATTTAGTACATAAACTGAAGAGTTGAAAAAGTTGCTATTGATATTGTTTTACACTCCAATGCATTTACCATTTTACCCTGCATGCATCTTGAGCCTTTTGACCCCAGTGTAGTTGGGACCATACTGGGTTATTCTTGTTGTTGCTTTAGTACATAAATTGAAGCCTGTGTAATTATTAGAATGATCTAAAAGAAAAAGAGACCTGAACATCAAAGTGGCGCATTCCCAGCTTTCTTTTAGCAGCTTCACGAACAACAGCAAATGCCTCTAGCAGACATTGTTTATGAATAGAGGTAAAAAAATATGAATAAATCCATCAGTTATTTCATAAGAATCATTATAACTTCCAATAACAGTATAAAATATATATAATTGATCAATAACTTTATAATGAAAATATCAGAGACTACCTGCTTGAATATGAGATAAGGACTCTCCTTCTCTCAATCGTTTGCGAAACTCCACAGTCTTTGCACTCAGCTGCGCCATCACCAGATGAATTTAAAATGAAATCGTATACAGGGAAACACAGACAGAAATGTTACTAACCTGTTCATCTGAAAGCTCCTGAATTTGGGGTTCAAGTGCATTCACATATCTCACGAGCCTACCATAGTCTCTCACGATCCAGTGGTTCAAGGAGGTAAAACTGCTCCAATTTTTTACCAGCCCGTCAATGTTCTCCTATTCAAACGAGCAAGAATCAGAATTCGCTTTCAGCACAATTATTTTTTAAGATTTTCAATGGAGTGGACCTTGAGTGAGGCAACGACGGGAAAGTGTGAGTGAACGGAACGACGGCGACAGAGGCGTCGGCAATTAGAGAGTGGCGGGAAAGCGAGTTGAGGGAAATCGATGCGCTCAGTGAAGGGAAGAGTTGTGGCGCGAGGAGTATGGTTGCGGCGGAGGCGGGGTTGTTTGTGTGGGAGAGCAGATGATGTGGCAGCGGCTAGCGCGGCCATTGTTTGTACCGGCTGCGTTTCCCGACAGGGGAGAGAGCACAGCGTTCTGCTAGTCCGACTGCTTACCTCCTCTATTCTAGTGATAACTATTTCATTAAATATTTTGAAAAAATTATCACAAATAATCTCACTTTTTTTCGAATTCTTTCAAGAATAATCACATTTTTCACTATCCTCGAAAATAATTCATATTTGCGTGAGTTTTGGGTCGGTGTTAAAAAACTGACGGTCACTTAATAAAATTTTTAAAAATGTCATTTTTTGTAAATAAATGAAAAGTGTGATTATTTTAGATAAATTCTCCTTTTTGTTTTTTTAATTTCTAACATCAAATTTAAATGTACTTTTTAATAATTTTTTATAAATAATACTCCACCAAACAATTAAAGTGTGTGATAAATTAAAACAATTAAAGTGTGTGATAATACATAGGACCAGTTTGGTGAATTTTGAAAATACGATAATGTATGAGTTTTGAAATCTAGAAAAAATGATACGGAGTATGAGTTTTAAAATCTGTTGAAAGAAAAAATATTTGGAAAAAAAATAATTAAAATTAAATTATAACCACATGTGTTTGGTGACCAAATAAGAAATCAAATACAGATGTTAGATAATGGTTTAATATAGAAATATTATACCGTTAAAATATACACTAAATTTATATTTGTACTTGTTAATGGAGTATTAAAATATTTTTTATTTTATTTTTTTATTGTGCGAATATTTGTTAAAAAATTATACTTTTGGATTAAAAAAATTGTTAGAACTTTTTTATAATTAAAACAAAATCAGTAATTTGAAAAAAAAAATTAATTCATAATAATTTGATAAAAATATAATTCAATAATATAACTGTATTAAAAAATATGAATAAATTTAACAAATTTTCAAAAATGGATATACCTTTTCCAATTCAACAAATTCAATCAGAAGATTGCTAAAAAAATTGGAAAAACGGATGAAAATAATACTACAAGATATGAAAGAAGAAGGGAGAGAAGACGAAAATATTGTGCATTTTAAGAATACATTCTTTAGAAAAAGATTATTCTGTTGGCCTGGTTTATCTTTGTTCTAAATAAATTCTATTCATATTTTTACACCTCCCTAAAAATCCAAGTCAAGCCAAATGAAGAATAAGAGAGAATAATTAAGTGTGCAACTAGTAAACAAGTTAATAGTTTATCTTTACATCATGCATATATTTGTAAAATATGGAGTAGAGTTTTACTTCTTATGATTTATATTTTGTACTCCTCTCTTTGAATAAATCTAAACCTCATAGTTTATCTTCTTTCACAATCACTCTCCCATGTCAAACCAAGTGAGAATTTGCAGTAATCCATTGGAGTGTTCTTCAAAGATATCATTGCTTCGTAGAATAGTATACCTGAAAAGAAGAATGTAAACAGTCGTCGGTCAAAGCTCTTCTCGTCAGTTGGAACTCAGAACCAATCCGAATAACTGAATAATTGACATGCGAATGAGACGGAAAACTTTGGATAAAATATAAGAAGATTTGAACTTTGAATATGTATAGAGCATAAAACCCATGCCTTGATTACACCATTAGCTTGTCCAATGAAAAGCTTTCCTTGCCAGTATAGAAGAGCAGTTACCACAGAATCACAAGGAATTGATCCAAACACAGTGGGTTCTGTTTGGGTACCTTCCCCACACAGTTCCTGCAAAACCAGATGAAAATTGAGATTGGTTGATAAACCCATTTTTTTCCTTCATATCTTCAGCATTTACCTGTACATTTACGCTCTTGTCCCATCCACCGGTGAAGATCCATCTCCCCTTCTTGCAGGCAGAGAATACAGCTCCATTGTGGGCTTGTGTAGATTTCAGAACTGTGTCATCATACCAGATCTGGGGAAAAAATACGTCCAATATGACTTTTTTTTGGGGGGGGGGGGGTGGTGGAGCGATAGATTATGGACAAACGAGAAAGATCCAGAATAGACCAAAAACAAACTAAATATATCATCACAGCTTTTTTAGGTGATACCGTAACAATGCCATTTTGGTGAGCCACAACAAGTGAATGTTCATCAGCAGCAAGAGACGTGACTGAGGTCAAGTTTGAAGGCATATTTTCCCCGAGCACTGCCAACAGACTGTGATCACTAATGCACCATAACCGCACAGTTCCATCCCAGCTTCCACTATAAAGAACCTCATTGCAAACTACCAGTGAAGAAACAACTGACTTATGGCCGGTCATTGTACATGATAATGTGTAGTCCTGGAGAGGATGTGAGTTGATTATAAGAGAACATAACAATTTTATTTCACGGATAATGCATCTGTTAAGGTTGTCATCGGTGTTCAAAACATTTTTATGATGGGGGGAGCCAAAAAATCACCCCTCTCCTCCTCTCCAAATGTTGAGGGGAGGAAAGGGAAAATTCCTACACACCGCACACCCATGCTAAAAATGATTTGAACCAAATGAAGGGACCAACCCCACAAACACACCCTAAATGTAACCAGAACAAAAGGATAACAGTATACTGCCTGCAGTGACCAAGCTTTTATTGATTTGTCTCCACTACCGGTGTATAGATGCTTGCTTCTAGATACAGCAAGGGCATGGATGCCACTATACCGCCAATCCTTTTGTTCATATAATTTCTTTATTGGTTCTTGAGCCAGGGGAGCCCTAGCAGCCCAAATGCATATGACACCCCCATTATCACCACTGATGCACAGAGGCTGTTCATCATCCACAAATGTGACAGCAGAGACTCTTTGCTCATGCCCTTTAAATGCATGTACATGAGTGTAATTCTGCAAGACCAGGAATGATCATAGTACAGAAGTTCTAAAATTTGCACCTTTGAGTCCAGGCGTGTCTCAACTTATGAGTTGTTTTTACATTTGAAATGTACTGATATATACACACACCAATATCTCCTCAGAAAGTTTTTTAGGGTGTACCTGCAAAGACCACACATTGACCACTTTATCAAAGGAGGAGCTGAAAAGGAACCCCCCTGAAAACATAAAAAAGAGAGAGAGGTATTTTCAGACTACATGTTCATCATTGAGAGGAACAATGAAGTAATTCTCTTCCAAAAATAAGCAGCAAAAAATCTATACAATCATTGAACAATAAAAACTTTCAACCGAGAGAACACATGAATTAAATATGTCCGCAGTGAGAAACTACATTTAAGTAAATGAAGAGCACACAAGTTGAATCTGAATGAATGATATACAAACAACCATACCTCCAATAGCAAGGCATGTTATACAATCACGGTGTTCGATTAGATTAATACATTTTATCTGGCCATCGGGGATTCCCTCAATAACATCCTTGCCAATCTTAGAAATTTCAACTTCCTCAACATCAATATTTTGATTTCCACCCATAGATTGTTTGTTACCCTTCCAGGTTGATAGACTGAGCTCCCCAAAAAGAAAGCAAAGAGGAATGGTTTGCTTGGTTACCGGTTTTAGGTTGGTTGAAACACCAATATCAGGTTTCACAATCACCTCCCTCAAGCTTGTCCATAGTTCAATCACGGGTGGCCGGTTTTCTGGATTGAAATCCAAACACTTGCAGAGAATATTTCTTAAAGATATAAAGTCAGGTTTCAATTTACATTCAAATAAACAAATAATCCTCTTCATCCACCCTGTATACCACCCAAATAAATCGGAATGATTTTCAACATGTTCAATAAAATATTGCAAGTAAACCAGCATCTCTTGAGCAAAAGGTTTCCCTATAATAACCCAAAGCAACAATGAAGCTAATGACCAAACATCCGCCGCAAATCCCACATCATATTCTGAGAAAACACAACCAACTTGGACACCTTCAATTTTCAATAACCCAAACATTGCTTCCGGACTAACAAACCAACATTCAGCCATTTTTTCACTTTCCAGTCCTACGACAAGATTTTGATTGCATGTTCCATCCCTACGAACAATCATATTTCCAACTCTCCTTACAGCCACCAAAGTCTCACATAAATCAACACAAGCATGACCAAATTCATCCATGCCAAAACATGAAGCTCCCAAACAGCCAAAGCTCAGTCCTTGCAAATGCAAATTATGCACAGCTTCACAAATGTCTAACCCAGCCATTGCCCAACTTCTCATACTTCCATTATTACGAGAAACCACATCAGCCAACATACTTACATTCCTCCCAAAGCTCTTGCAAACTAAATACACAAAATTGTCGTCTTCACAATACCAAAATCCATAAACTTTGCACCGTCCATGATGCCTTGAAATTGCTTTCAGAATCACATCTAATTCATTTCTTTCCATATCGATCATTTCATATAATGCTCTCAACACTCTCACTTCATAACTATACTTGATTAGCTTAGAGTAACTCTCAGCTTTGTGAATAAAGATCCCAACCTTAACAAGGCATACTTCCACTTCCTCTGCCAAGTTCCCATAGCTCACAACATCACGATTACTCAAACATTTTGTATAACACCCATACAACAAATAACAAAAATCGTCATACCTTTTAGAGCCAGATTTTTGTGGTTTAGTAGATACGCTGTTTTCTGGGAGAACCCATGGTTTCCAATGTAAGTAGAACTCGCGAGACCACAAAGCCGGTAGGAACACGAACGAGTCATTTTCGGGTTCTTGCAGTGAATTTAGGGTTTTAGGTTGTGACATAGGGTCGTTGTTCTGTGGGAGGGAGTAGCGGAGGAGGTCGATGTTCTTCGGGAGAGAAGAGAGGAGTTTGGGTAACTTCACAAGCTGGGTGCAGACTGGACATCTGATGGTGTCCGGGAAGGCGGTTGGGAGCCGCCCAATACACGCCTCGCAGACGGAGTGACCGCATGCGAGTACTCGAGGGATCGTTGAAGTGGACCCGTACGGCTGTAGGCATACCGGGCACTCCGGCAGCTCCTGAAGCTCCATGGCCGGAAAATCAAACTCGGGGAAAGGAGCTGCCCTCCACGCTATTCTCCCGCTCAATTGCTTGAATTTGGGGAAATTTGCGGCGCCACCCCCGTCCCGCCATAGACCGGTGAGGATTAGATGAGTGAGCTTGCACAACTTTAAAAAACAATGACATACCCGGTAGGAGGGGTGGGCATGAAATCCGTTTCCGTTGGACTGTTCCGAAAAATTCCGGTTCCGTTTGTAATTGTACCGATATATTGGGACACAATTTTTTTATCCCGAACCCGTTCCGTCCCAATATCAAATGGGACATGAGCGGGACAACTAAAATTTATACCGATCCGTCCTGTTTGTCTCGTTTCATCTACTCTACTAATATATAATATTAATTCTAGTCCAGAATTTAAATACACTTATTCTTTAATTAATTAGTTATTTAATTAAGTTAATTTCATAGGCTTGAAATTTATTTGGATCCATTCCACTCATTGTTTTTTGTTGGATGACTACATGTTTCTTTTTTTGAATGAAATGTCACACTCTCCCATTTCTTATATTTGCGATTTAGGACAAAATAGGACAATCCGAATCCGTCCCGTTTTATTCCGATCCCGAATTTTATGGGACAAACCGGGATAAGGTTGTAATCCGAACCGTTCCAGACCGTTTATATATAACGGGACAAGACATGGGACAACCTAAAACCGGACCGTCCGATCCGTGCCCACCCCTACCCCGTAGTACCTCTCAATCTCTCACACTACTTTCAAATTAAATTTTTTAAAATAAACTTCATTCAATTATTTGTTTATTATTCATATGTTAAATTTTAATTATTTTATTTTTTCATTTTCACCACATATTTGATAAATATTTTATTTTGTAGATCTTTTGATATAATTTTTAAATAAATAAATTTTAATTCGTATTTTTAGTTTCACACCAATTTTTAAACAAATTGTTGAAAATAATTTTAATTAAACTTTGTAAACAACAATAGATAATTTAGATTTGGACGAAATAAGTATGAAATTGCTCTATGATCTTGGAAAGTAGGGTAGGAAGGCCACTTCCCAAATACATGGAAAGTTTACCTAATAAGAGTATCAAACTCGAGTAGAGACGGAAACATTGATTGATTATGTATCATTACATTAAAAAAATATGTAAAGATACTGCATTACAACAAGATTATTCATGTGACATTGGTCACCAATGTCACGAGATGACTTAGGACTCATAGAATGCACCATTTGAAAATTTGATTATTTATATCCCGCTTGCTTGCCCCTACCACTCTCAGCCTCCACAGTCCACACCCTTACCCCCATCCCTCCCTCCTTCCCAGTCTTTTCTGTAGTTAATCGATGAAGGAAAAAATGGGTAGCGGATATAAAATTAAAAGGATATAAATTATTGATTTTTCGAACAGATCATCGAAGAGGTTTCAATTGAAACTCATATAATATCATGACAATGGTGACCGTTATCACATGACCCCAGTCAATATTGTAAATAAGTTAGTAGCCCTTAAATTTTTTTTTCTTCATATATAAATTATGGAGATTTTACAAAAAAAAATTATGGCCGCATAATTAGGTCATGTAATCTTTACAAATGGTTTTGATCGATTGAAATGAATTCTGATCTGATTTAATGTAATCTGAATATAATTATATTTAAAATTATTTATCAAAGTCATCTAATTTGATATTCTAATAAAAAAAAATATCTTAAAACCCCTTCAATGGAGTTGGGTTCAGCCGTTCATACTAGTGGCGATTCCAATTTGCAACACGACTAGAGAGAGTAATTAGAGGATGGGGGTGGCGAGCAAGGCAGGGGATTGGGCATTCAAGGCTTTAACGGCAGGGCTCGGCGTCGCCACCGTTTACCTCGGCGCCACTTTCTCCGTCAACGTCTATCGTGGCCTCAAATGGCACAACTCCCAAGAGGTACCTCTACCCGCGCTCTCTCTTTTCTTCCCGTTCTATTTGAAGCTTCAGATTTTTGCTTATATCATATTTGATTTCAAAGTGGTTATAGTGTGCCGTCTCGTCGCGGCTGTTTGAGAATTCCTTCATTCATTTGCTTATCGGAGAATCTAGGATCAGGTGAAACCTCATAAACACCTGAAAACCTAATTCTGGATACCCTTTTGAATCGGATGTTTTTGGAGTTTTAAGAGACTCCAGGTTCAATAGATTAGTCAAAAAACAGTTTAAAACCTAACCTAATTTTGAATGACCTCCAAATTAGAGGTTTTCAGAGTTTGGCCTCTCCGCTCTCATAAGGAGTCATTGGATTAGAAAACCTTCACTCCAACAACCTTTTTATCACATTCGACTAATTAACTTAATAAGTATCCAAACAACATACACACACACACTCACTCACACACACTCACGCGCGCACACACACACAATAATTGGCTTAAACCACTTTTTACTGATTCTAGTCAATATATGAGGCCTTCTAACAACAGAACTAGAAATATTCAACTTCACTCTTTTTAAGATTAGGTTCATTATTAGTGTGAAACAAACTCAAATGAAGTATAAATTGAGGTGTACTAAGCATACTTTAATTAGTCGAATGTGATAAAAAGGTTGTTTGGCCGAGGTGTTCTAAGCATACATCATTATGCTAATATAAGTTGTCATTTGAGGTGTAGCAAGCATAAACATTTTTTTTCATAATTAAACAAAATAACAATTCTGCTGAACTCGGTCTTTAAATTTATCTTTTTGAATTCTTTTGATTATTTGTTTGCTTAAATGTGCATTTTTTTTAAATATCTCAATGCTAATTGCAGCATTACCTGACATTCGATGCTTTCTGTGCAGTTTAGAACGGTAATAAAAGTGGACTTGCAAATAGAGACATCCAGTCCACTTTTGTCGTTCTAATACTGACCGAAAGCCTGTCCCCATAAACAAGCATAGCTCTTTTGTTGTACAATCCGCTCCCATCTAAGCTATTCTTGTCCTATGGTGTCATTATTATAAATTATCATTCAGTTGGTCTCTCATATTGTGTGAACCTCTATGTCCTCCTTGTGCCTATGCAAATTTGACAGATAGTTTTACACTTTTACCCCTTCCCCGCTTTGGCTTTTGTGATCTCTGAAATATGTATGCATGCATGTCTCTTTGATATAATGCTGCTTCCTCCAATTTCAGAAGATCGTTAACAAGGAGTCATCCAATGGAGACGACCCGATTAAAGAAAGGCAAGTATGATTTTTGTGGTTCATCGTGATTCTTTTTTGCTTTAGTTCAGAGATGGAAAGAAACTTTGAAGCATCTCTCAGTTACATTATTACATGAGATTTTGCATTGAGCAATTTGTTACGTAGTACGGAGTATTTGTTATTGTTGGATTGCTTTGTGAAGTGTAAAAGATTTTTCATGTTTTTGTATGGATTACAGTGTAAAATTTCTTTTGAAAGGCCACATCATGAACATAACGTGCCGGTGTCTTGTTCTGGTATCATATTAAATTTAAATAACCCGAACAAATCCAAGCCTAACACGGATGATTTAAAAGGGGAAGGTGAACCGCTCATGACACGGGTTGGGATGCACTAACTATAGATTACAAAATGTATTGACAACTTGCCTGAACCCGACTCGGCTTAATATCCGACTCGGCTTAATATTTGGGTACGCTTTTTCATCCGAATTTGTTTTAAATTCCAATCAACTTGAATAATAATACGAGTAGTTTTAATTTTCAACTCACTGTATGAGATCATTTTTCCAGAAAATAATATTAATACTCCGTAATACATAAGAGTTTAATTATATATTATTAATCATTGGTGTCCATTATCACACAAGAAATTACATTTGACACATGATTTGTATAAAAAACTAGTCATCTAAATTGATAGCAGTCCGGTTTTCTCATTTATTTTTATGACTTGGTCCGGTTTGGGTTGTTTGGTTCCGTATGGGCAATAGTCTAACCCGGATTTCTTGTCCACTTTGGAGCCAAAGGTTTACACCAATTCTATTTGGACACAATCTTTTACTCCTTGTGTTAATTGCAAAGAAATTGGTCGTGTGCATAGAAATTTACCTGCGATAGTTTTTTAACTTTTTTGTTGATAAGGTTAAGACATAATCGTAACTCAGCTGGTCGAGAGAGTAGTGGCACATAGGACAAATTCAAGGTTGACTCCTGTAAATAACAATAAAGCATGACTACTATATGCATGATATTCTTGCATGTACCAGAGATTAATTTTGCCCTCTCTCAATTAAACCAAGATTGTAACTTAATTTATGTCATTCCAACTTATTGTCAGAGCCAGAAGACGTCTGACGGGAAGGGGGGGTGGGGGACCTCTTTTTGTTGTTGTTGATAAATCTTAAAAATATATAGGAGCCTTGTAATAAGGTGTAAGAGTTTGGGTAAGACAACTTATTGAAATGATTTAGGCCTCGTTTGGCATCAACGTTGGAGGTTAGCGTTTTAAAAAGGCTATCTGACGGTAATCTTTAACGCTAGCGGTTTCAAAGTTAATCTACACTATAACAATCTAATCCAAAACGCTAACGCTAATGAAAAATGTTGTTCCCAAACAAGATTTTAATCATTTTTAAAAGTCATAAAATGAAAAGGAGTTTGTACCAAACAGGGCATACAAATATGGCGCAATCTTCATTATTATAATCCAATTGTGTTATCTAACATCTAATTTCTAAAAGCGTGGATAGCATGTTCCATTATTTTTGTCCAACTCGTGGAAACGTAACATTGTACACGAAGAGTGTCCTTTGCTTGGGGTAGTTGGGTGTAAGAATGGCAATGAGGAAAATTTGGTCTCTCTACTAATTATCTTCATACTTTTTATTTAAGTTATCATAAAAACCATTACGCAAGTTTCTAAGAATATTGTATCAATTCCATGATTTTCTTACTACTCCATCCGTCCCATTTTAAATTGTCTGTTAGCCTTTTTTCTCCGTCCCAAAATAAGTTGCCTGTTAGTTGTTTTCGTAAACTTTTAAAAATAAAATACCTAAACTATCCTTAAAATAAGTCACACTTCTTCACCTTATCTTCTCATTCATCATCACACCTCCTAAAAAGTAATGTCAATTTCAGAAAATCAACTCTATTTTTTATTTTCCTTAAATATGCCCAAAAGTCAAAACAGGCGATTTAAATTGGGACGGAGGAAGTATATAAATACATATTGATGGGTAAATGTGGTCTACAATTTTTCTACGGAGTATTTCTCATGAACAAATTTCAATAATAAATTTTTTATTTTTTTTAATATTTTTCTTAAATTTTGTGAAATTAAATATCGAGAAATATTTTGGCAGTGCCCAATTTTAGAAATATTTTAATTGTATACCATGTAATATTCTAAGGGGTTCTCTAACGTGTTTTCAATACCAGTTCAATCAGTAGACTGAAAAGAGATAAATTAAATTATATTGGAGTAATTTTTCAATCAAACGTGATCCAGTTATTATTATCAACATTGTCGGGAAACGAACTCAATCAGTAATTTTTTTTTTTTTACACTTCTTTTAGACCAACCGAACTACTATAATATTCCACATATTAAATTATGATGTGGGGGGTGGAGTTTTGGACGTGGAAAACGATAAGCTCAAAAGAGAAAAGAGTCACATCCCCATCCATTGGTGTTAACGTTTCCTTACTATCCATCCCATCATCATCATCTAATCATCTAATCATCATCATATCATCCATATATGCATATCCCCTCTTTGCTTCTTCTTCTTCTTACTAATTAAACTTCATATTTCCATTTTTATACTTTAGTTTCTTTTTTTCATGATCAATCTTGAGTAGCCTTCGAATAAATTTTTGAAAATGAGTTCCCTTTTGAGGACGCTCTTCATCCAAAACAAGAAAAGATTATTATCATCAGGCGGCGGCGGCGGTGCTGTGGCGGCGGCAACTACCATTCTGTCAATTCGCCGCAGGTTAATGTCCACCGGTGCAATGCTGCCACAGCAGTCTCCTCCGTTCACCAACAGCTGTGACGACGACACTCTATGTCCGGTGAGTCTGACTCTACTATTTATAAAAAAAATTATAACTCCAAAAGTTGAAGATAGAACTTTTTTTTTTTTTTGAACAAACCAAAAAAGGAAACGTAAAATCTTTTTATAGGAAAAGAAAAAGTAAACACTTATAATTTCACTTAAATAATCGCTTATTAGTTTCACAAAAGCAACAATTGAAAAATAAATTTTCCTCTTCCTGTTTTGTCGTATATCGTAATCACTATGTATTTTTGACACCATGTGTTTCACATACATGCACATAGAGTCAACATCTTGTCTGTGAAATACAAAGTGTCAAATTTTGATGTCAAACTGATTACTCTTTGAAAAAACTGAAGACATTGGACTTCCCTGGTGGGAGTGTGCCTTTCACGACAAAGATGAACTTCATTTCCGGGTCCGGCGAGGACGAGGGGAGGATCCCTTGTTATCGGGTTCTCGACGAGGACGGCAATTTCTTGCCCGCCACCACCGGGGTCCACCAGGTAGCTAGGCATTTCCTTCCCCATTATTCATGCATAACATTATTAGTCATCTTTTAAGAAGATGAATAAATGGCAGGTGATTGGGGAAGAAATGGCAGTGAAGATGTACAGCACAATGGTGAGGGTGGAGACGGCGGACACCATTTTTTACGAGGCACAAAGGCAGGGGAGACTGTCCTTTTATCTCACCTCTAGCGGTGAAGAAGCTGTCAGTATAGGATCCGCCGCCGCCCTCTCTCCCCATGACATTTTAATGCTTCAGGTTCCTCTCCCTTTCTCTTCAACAATACATTCATTAATAGGTAAACCCCTCCACTCAGTGTCCTCCGTGGTGACTCAAAGTGAGTGGCCATAGAACCTGTTTGTTGTTAATATTCTTTTCAGTAAGTTTATTAAATTCCTCTGTGTGTGTGTGTGTGTGTGTGTGTGTGTGAAGTACCGGGAACTAGGGGTTCTGTTATGGAGAGACTTCACCCTGCAAGAAATGGCAAACCAGTGCTTTGGGAACAAATGTGACTATGGTAAAGGAAGACAAATGCCCATTCACTATGGTTCTACCCACCACAACATCCTCACCATTTCTTCCCCTCTCGCGTACAACCCCTTCATCCCTTTTCCCCCCTTTTTTAAAATATTATCTACTCAGTATACGGAATAAAAATAATAATGACAAAAATCAAATCTTCTGTGTCGTGAAAAAAAAAAATTTAAAGAACGCAGATACCTCAGGCAGCAGGAGTGGCATATTCGCTGAAAATGGAGGGAAAGGACGCGTGTGCAGTGACTTACTTTGGAGATGGGACCACAAGCGAGGGAGATTTCCACGCGGGCCTAAATTTTGCAGCTGNTCTACCCACCACAACATCCTCACCATTTCTTCCCCTCTCGCGTACAACCCCTTCATCCCTTTTCCCCCCTTTTTTAAAATATTATCTACTCAGTATACGGAATAAAAATAATAATGACAAAAATCAAATCTTCTGTGTCGTGAAAAAAAAAAATTTAAAGAACGCAGATACCTCAGGCAGCAGGAGTGGCATATTCGCTGAAAATGGAGGGAAAGGACGCGTGTGCAGTGACTTACTTTGGAGATGGGACCACGAGCGAGGGAGATTTCCACGCGGGCCTGAATTTTGCAGCTGTGATGGATGCCCCCGTGGTGTTCATATGCCGTAACAATGGGTGGGCCATCAGCACCCCTGTCGCGCAGCAGTTCCGAAGTAAGTCGTTGCAGTTGAGTTATGGAAACGAATTTTGTGTGCATTTGATTGAAACTTGTTGTGTGTTGGGTGGGTAGGTGATGGGATTGTGAGCAAGGGAAAAGGGTATGGGATCACAAGTATCCGCGTGGACGGAAATGATGCCATTGCTGTCTACAATGCCATCCGTGCTGCTCGCGAAATGGCAATAAAGAAACAAGCCCCCATACTTGTTGAGGTATTCATTCATTCACTCACTCACTCACAAGGGTCAAAATTGGAATTCAGAGACAAAAACATTCAAGTAGAGTATCATGCGCCTTGACTCACAAGCTTGAGCTCGTGGCTGAGTTCGTTCTTGGACAATTTCAAACTAGGAGTAGGAGAGGAAAAAAAAACTTAGTAAAAGGCTCACAAAATGGTATGAATTTGACATAAAAAATTACCTCCTTGAATGATGATATAGGAGTCACTTCACTCATTCTCTTGAAGGTTGATTTTGCTTTAACCTTTCTTTCCATTTGGTTTGGTCAAAACATCTTTGTTTCACTAGGCACTGACATATCGTGTATCTCACCATTCGACATCGGATGACTCCACAAAGTATCGGCCCACAGAAGAGATAGAGCACTGGAAGACAACGCGGAGCCCGGTGGCCAGGTTCAGAAAATGGGTAGAGAAGAAAGGATGGTGGAGCGGCGAGAAGGAATCTCAACTTCGCCGGGATTTAAGGAGACAAGTTTTGGAAGCAATTCAAGAAGCAGAGGGGATGGAGAAACCTTCGCTGTCGGAGTTGTTTGCGGATGTTTATGACCATCTGCCCCCAAACCTTAAAGAGCAGGAGAGGTCATTAAGGGACATTGTAGAGAGACACCCCAAGGACTACCCCGCCGATGTCCCCGTGTAGGACACCCTAATATAGTAACTGTTTTGGAAACTGTGTGGTGGCATGTCATTGTTTGTGTGTGCATCCTTTCATTTTTAGACTGTGTTCAACTTACTTTAAGGACTTAGCTTGGTGATGATCATTATCAATTGATACCATACACTCCCTCGGCCACCCTGGTTTCTTGCTGTATTGACCTGCAGAGAAAAGTAAGAGGACCAATCAAGAAGATATATTGATATAAGATCAAGATGGAAATTATTTTCTCTGCGGATCAATACTGCAAGAAAGCAGGGTGGCAGAGCGAGCTTAGAGAATTTCCTATCTTCTTTCCATTTTCTTCATCAATTCTTATGGAGGTCAATAATGGCAAGAAATCATATTTCTTTCAGCACCCTATACATGTTTCTACTTTTATTGTGTATAGTAATTTATTTTTCTTTCTAAATGTTTTGTGCAATTTGTCTAGATGAAATGGATGAGGGGGGATTCTTTCCACGTGCCCAGTGTGCCAAGAGTGTTAATCTAGTGTGACTTAAAACAAATTGACTTTTTCAAGTCAAATTGGACAGGTTCAAACATCAATTACATTAAATTTGCATTGCATATTGATACAATAAAATATATTTTCAAAAGTTCTTTGAAAGATGAATATGATAAAATCATTTTTATAATAATATGCAATATAGTGTAATGCCCATTCACTTGAATCTGTTTTTTCAAGTGGTCCTTTCACTATTTTAGGACATATTTTGAGTATCCCTTTAAAATTAGCAAAATTTAATTTTGGTTCCTCTAAATATTTTTTAAACTTGGCAAATGTTTTTTTTGATTCCTAAAACATGATCAACATATATTCCAAATCGGTAGAAAGGATCACTTGAAAAAAATATTTTTACAAGGATTAATTAATTATGGAGAATTCGAGAAAGACTAAATGAAAATTTGATTAATTTTTCAAGGACAAAACGCGTATTTAACCCTTAAGTTTTTTATGGACCTCGACTACCAATTCCGGGGCTCTTTGGGGGGGGGGGGGGGGG